GTCTCCTACAGCAGTTTGAAGACGAAGGTGATGCATTTTTGAAGTCTATAGAGACCACCGATGAAACGTGGGTGCACTACTTCATTCCTGAGTCCGAGCAATCATCACGTGAGTGGCGGCATACCAGTTCTCCCAAACCAAGAGAGCGCAGAGGAGCCATTTGGCAGGAAAAGTGATGGCAACGTTCTTCTGGGACTGGCAGGGGGTTATCCATGTAGACTTTGTAACAGATGCCAGAACAGTCAATGCAGCTTATTACTCAGACCTCCTGGCAACAGACGTGAATGAAAAGATCCGATCCGATCCAAGCGGAAGAGAGGTGGAAAGCGGGTAGCCTTCCTTCAAGACAATGCAAGCCCCCATACGGCCAAAACAACAATGGAAACCCTCCGGAAATTGAAATGGAACCTTCTGACACATCCGCCATACATTCCCGATTTGGCACCAAGTGATTTCTACCTGTTCGGAAGGCTCAAATCCGACTTGCAAGGCTTGCCGTTTGTGGACAACAACGCCATCATCCAGAATGTTCGGGAGTCAATACGCCGCCAACCACAAAACTTTTTTGAAAAGGGCATCAGGATGCTTCCAGAACGTTGGAAAAAATGTGCTGACTCCGGAGGGGAGTACGTTGAAGACTGACATGTGCAAGTAAGTGTTTGGCAATTTTGGTTAAAAAAAATCAGTCTCAGTCATATTTGAACCACCTTGTATATTCAAAATATATGCAAAAACATATTTAAACTGTTGTGTAAAGTTGTTAAATTTTGGCTAATATATCCTGTAGCTGAAAACCTTTGGTATCAAGCCATGACATTAAATTTAAAGTAAAATTAATTTTCTTAATTGGGGAACATTACATGTATACAGGTGGAAGGAAATTACCGAACTAAGCCACTCAAGTTTGTGAAACATGCTTAAAAGCTATGAATTCAACATATAACTTAGAATGAGAAATTAATAATCTATATTAACATATGCAAGAAGTTAACTGCATATATTTCATTTCTTGCACATGTTTATCCTGATCACAATGGCCATGCAGTCTAAGGTATGTACCCTTTTCTGCCACTCAAATATTGGGATTGTGGGTTTGAGTCCCACTTGAGGCATATATGTATATATATATATATATATATATACGTGTTTGTGTTGTCATTTGTAGTAGTGGTTTTGCAATGGGTCGGCTCCCTGACTAAGGAGCCCTACCAACTGTCTGTATGATAAGTATTTTTAGAAGTTAATTTTGGATTGGAACAGAGTGAAGGGCTGAAGAGGATGTTTTACCATACCTTGAGTAGCTTTAAAGAACATCAGTCCACCTGGTAAGAAGAACCTATCATCACTTTCTTCTACATTATATACCAGGCGGTAACTTCCTCCTGCTCCTTTGGTCATGCGCTGGGTTAACCTATGCAAAGCAAAATATGTTTTACTGCCTACTATACTTCAAACACCAACAAAAAACAGTGGGTATTAATCTACTTAAAATTTATTTCCCCAGTCATTAAAGGGCTGATGCTCTTTTTGGGTGGGGAAGAAAAGGAAGCTGCAACTGTTTAAGAAGCATTCATCATAATTTACTATTATTATTATAATACTTATATTTTGTTATTATTCATTTAATAGGAAAAAACATAAATTTCAGAAAAAAAAAACACAAGCTCCATTAGATGCCAATAAGGAAACTGTCCAGAAATAAACAGAGAGAAAAGTAAATATATGTTAATGTCTCATCACCAGAATGCAGGACAAAATGACAATATAAATATGGCTAATAAATCCTTACAAATGCAGCAAAGCTGAAACACTTGGCAACAGTGGTAACAAACCAAAACTGCATTCACAAACTTAAGAGGAGATGAAATCAGAATATGCTTACTACCATTCAGTTCTGAACCCTTTATCCTCGTGTCTGCTATCTAAAAGCATAACAATTGCAAAATACAAAACTACGTATAATTTTACCTGTAGTTTTGTATGAATGTGTAACGAATCTCTCACATGGGTGCTGAGACTATTAGGACCTAAGAGGCAGAAGTGACAGGAGACTGAAGATGACATAATGAGGTGCTTTACTACTTGATGTTTTCACTGCATATTATTTGATGATCAAATCAAGAAGGAAGGATGAGGAGGAACAGATGAGCAATGCATGCAAAATTCTGGTCAGAAACACTTGGAAGATCTAGGCACAGATGGGAATGTTAAAATGGATCTTGTATAAATAGGGTAAGAGGGTATGGACTGGATTCATCTGGCTCATGAGAGGGTCTAGTAGTGGTTCCCTGTGAACACAGTATTGAATCTTTGGGTTCCACAGAAGACAGGGAATTTCCTGAGTAGCCAAGCAAGTATTAGCTTCTCAAGAAGGACTCTGTCCATGGAATTAGTTAATTATTTTATATTTTGTATTAACTCACTGCATTATAATATAATGTCAAAATAGAATAAAATTATATATATTGTCTGTTTTTGATGGCCAATCCACATATATCCCTAATGATGGAGGCAAAGACATTCTCCAAAATTTTGGAGCTTTTCTCTGCACTGATGATGTGACTCACAGCCTGAGATGATGTCACTGAGCTTAGACTTTGTAAAAGCTTCAAGTAATGTACAGTCAATCTCATTGGGCAGAATACACATAGCAATGCATGTCATCCGGAAAACCTGTACAAGCAGATACATGAACTTCTCAGCTCTCTGGCCTTCATGCTCAGATTTAAAGGTGAAGAAACTGTTTCCATAAGCTTGAGATTCACTTGCTATGCTTCTAGAAAAATATTTCAATGTAACATTTTTCCTCTCATACAGAAGTGTACACATTACACAAGCTAAATATGAATGTTGGTGCCCTTCTTGAGGTGTGCCTTCAGCTGGCCTCTACCCTTATGCATCATTACTAAGATGTGATTGACAATACCACTGAAGCCCAGGGGAACCTGGCCCTGAACAAAGCCTCCAGGAAATGGAAGCATAAGTTTGAGGGCTTGTCAAGAGCACAGAAATGTATAGGAGTAGCAGACCAGGATGTCACGGTTAATCTTTCAGAGAAACACTGGGATCCAGTGGTGATATCTACATCGAGAATGGGTGGATGTTGTAACTCCTGTATGCGGCTGAACACATTCTTTGTGTTTTGAGGAACCCTATGTTAATGTAAGGTGTCCTTGAGGTTCTGTGCTGTCATGAACCAAGTCCAAGTCCTGTAGTACCAACCAGCTAGAAGCAGCTAGTGAAAGATGCATACCCATGGGGTACTTAGCAAACTCATCTAGTTTCTAAATGTGTGGTGTCTGTGTTCACATACCAGTGCAAAACTGGCATCAGTGAGAATCTGTCTATAGGCCTGCTGTCAACATGACATCCTGAACTTCATAAATGCAGGAACAGTCTGTTGGTCTTGGCATTTGAACAGGAAAGTTAAAGGACTGAGAACCCTGGATCTGTTCCTCTTAAGGAAGGATTCCTGGTGTCAAACACTGGGATGAGTATCCTCCCCATACAGATGAACTATAGAAGAATATAAGTTTCCATGGTGACTGAATGCAGTATGATTACAGAGAAGTGGACCTCTACCAGACCTTCAACCCAGGCAGAAATCACATTTGTAGTGAGACAAGATACGAAATAAACAATTACTCTCTACATATGCATATTGTCTTGAAGACTCAATGAATGCACAAGCAGCCAGACAACACTGCATATAGACTCTCAAGGACTCTGACAATGGTGTATAACACACAGAATTACTGGGTTTTTGGACTTTTTCCATCATCCAGTATTCTAAAAAATAGAAAATACAATGTTTCACAAACTGGATCGCTTTTCATTCTTCCAACTGAGTAGCTGTCTTCCCCCTTCACCTGAGGATGGAAACAGGTAGTTTCTAAAACGTGTTTTCTATTTTCTAGAATACTGGGTGATGGAAAAAGTCCAAAACCCAGTAATTCTGTGTGCAACAGTGCAGTTGCTGAATAGTATCTCTGCTGGCAAACGTACATACCATTTGCCCATTCAAATTATACCACCTGCCATTAGTAACATATTATTCTGTATCAACCAATGAAGACTACAGAAAACTACCACAAATGTCACATAGCAGAAATCAAAGAACACACCCACATGACATCTAAAAAATTTGGTAAACTAAGATACAGACCATCATGCAATGTTACTCTAGATATACTACATACTTGGAAAATACTGCTTCAACACACTCCAGGTCATGCAGTTTCTTCACACGTATAGGTATAAGGTCTGGTCTGCTCTCCTTGTTGAGAGCTTCTGCAAACTTGGCACACAATTTCATTCTGAAAATTCAAAACTTCACTGATTAAATTTACAGCTGTTGAGATATTCTTTACTTCCTTTAGAGTACAGGTCTGGGATCCCATTATTTTATGTGATTAAAACTGATATTGATTCCTATGGTTCTCTAATACCAGCAACCTCAAAAGGCAAGTTGTACTAAAAGCACTTAAATATTCCAAATTCATAGAAAGTAGCACAGCTCAGTTAATATAGCGATGAGCTATAGGCTGGATGACAAGCGTTCAATTCTTCTCTACTCCACTTTCCAGACCATCTCTGGAGACCACTCAGCCTCCTATTCAAAGGGTACCAGAAGATCCTTCCCTAGAGGAAAAGTAGCCAAGGTGTAATGATGGCCACTGATCTGAATCTAGTGCCAAGGTCAAGAACTGTAGAGCATTACCTCCACTCCCCCTATGTCTTCATGTAGTGGTTATTAATTAATTAAGCATTGGGGAAACTTTACCATTATCTTTTAAATTTAGACAATAAACTGTAAGGTAACATGGAAAAGGGAAGAAAAAGTGGATAAACCTTTACCTTGAAATACAGACTTCTGGAAAAAGAAACAGATGAACCAGACATGAACAACCAGTGAACATACCTCAATGTGAGATGTTCTCCTGATATATCTGTTCCTCCAAGGGAAATGGCATCAATAATGTGCAATGTTGAAACCTTGCGTTGTGACCTGCCCTCCCCTTTGAGTTCCTTCACTATCTCTCCATATAGAAGGGTGTCCGGACTCAGTTCAAGGTTCTCTACTTTGAACCACCGACTGCCATCAAGCCTGAACACTCTGTTACGACCCAACCCTGCAAACAATCAGGTCACATCATAAATATTCGAAGGAAAAATCAATGATTTATTATTCCAAAAGAGAAGGATCTTGACAAACTATTTGACATTGGTGAACATGAAGTTAATTCATTCATTCATCAGTAATCTGTCAGACGACAGTCTCTTCCAAAACAGTTTCTCCACTTAATGCGATCTTCTGTTTTTGGAAAGAAACTATCCAGGAAAAGTGATAATGTGGTAGTTTTTCCATTTGCTTTCCACATCGCAGTACAACAGCCGTTCAAACCACTCTGGTCACGCCTGTTGCTATACGAACTTGAACCATCTCGAGCATCATTTTCTCTGTGCTTCAAGTCGCCGCTGATGACGCTGCTTCCGGCATCAGTTTTCGGTGTCTCTCTTCGTCTGATGCCTACCCTTTGACCTGTCCAGCAAGGGAGGCCCTGCCAGTAGCTACGCTACCGCTGGTATAGCTCTCAGGGTCCTTGGCATACTCAAACACCCTCACCACGATAAGGTGGAGACACCAACGAGGGGATGAAGTTAATAACAGCACAAAAAGAAACTAAATATATAAATCAATACAAAAATAAATTTTAGAAAGAATTTATGATGCCCGCTTTCCCTCAGATACTTAAATCCACAAAGTGAGGCTATTTTATGGGAAGGGACCATTTGTGAGATCTAGGCACAGACAGAAGGATCATATTTTATATTTTAAAGTAAGGGGGTGTAAGGTTATGAAGTGGAATAAAACTGGCTCAGGATAGGGTACAGGGAAGGGATCTGGTAAACAGAACTACATAAAAGGCTTGCAATTTCTTGACCAGCTGAGTGACTGTCTGCCTCTCAAGGATTCTTCTCCACAGACTGAGTTAGGTCAGTGGGAATTACACATTAATAGTCATAAATTATATGATACTGTCATAGGTATGGGGTACGCATGACGAAACGACGAGATCTAGTTCAGATGATTGGATTTATTAACAGCTTGGTTATACACTCTCTCTTAATTACACTCTAATACAGTAATATCGTTGATTTACACACTTTCCAGTTCACCAGTGCACACGCACTAGGATTCTCTGTCTTCCACAAGTCGTCTCCTAGCTACGGATCTCCAAACAGAAACTGCCACTTCAAATCAGTACAAGTATTACACATTCGATCATCCAATTGCACTTCCAGTATCACTGCACCATCGCACACATAAAGTCTTCTAAATCACAAAGTAGGTAACTTTCAGTCCAGCATGACATAGAGGTTTACAACACTTCAGTCTTTATTCGCCTTACGTGTTTCGATTCAAAAGAATCATCTTCAGAGGTGCACCACTATGAGCAGGAAACACTGTCACATAAGATGTTTTAACATTATGCACTTAGGTTATGAATAGTGCTCACTATATCACAGTTTGCCCTATGCAGCCACGTTGACATGTAGATTTACGTATGATGTTTCGTTTAAGCGTATTTGTTGTACATATGACAGAGCAAGCACATAAACTATAACAACTAACAATAAGAACATACAACCAAGAGAAATAATCGACATCTTCTACCATCTGGAAGAAAAAACAACATGACCCAATGCTGGTTCACGATTTTTAACATAATAACTAATTTTTTACATACAAAAGATTTTTAATACAATTTCAAATACATAGGGAAGCTATTTTATGGAAAAGTGAACATCACATTGCATGCAGTGGGAAACCCCAATCGAATACCCAGCAAATACGCTTAAACGAAACATCATACGTAAATCTACACATC